TGAACTTTGTAAACCAACAGGTTTTCACCTCAACATCTGACTCCTGAATCTTTATTGGTAAATAGAGCACTAGAGACTTCGTTTAAAACTGCACTTGGTAGCATCAGCAGAACTGGTGCTGACTGGAGTCTATGGGGCCACAGAGGGTAGTTAAAATATCTGTAGATTCTGGTGTAGCCACTTACTCAATGGGAAAACAACAGGAGGTGAGTTCTAAGTCCGCTTTTTAAAAAGGTTAACCCACTATATTTTCAAACCACTGGTTTTCTGATTAAGTACAACCTAACAACATAGTACAGAGCACAAACATGTCCTTACAAAACAGAATAGGAAATGGGCAGTAAGATGACTTAGCAGGTAAGGGTGCATGCCGCAGGGCCAGATGATCTGTGTTCAGTTCTCAGCAACTCCTGAACGTTGTCTTCTGACCATCACATGTGCTATGAAAGGTACAGGCACGTCCTCTGTGCCTGCTCACACAAGCTAAATAAACAAACAAGGCGGTGGGGGTGGCTCCCTGTGTTGGAGAGATGGCTCAGTGACAAGAGCATCTACTGTTCTTGTAGAGGAACCAAGTACCCACATCAGGTGTGTGCCACAACGGCCTGGAACTCCAGTTCCAGGGAGTGTGGTGCCCTCCGGCCTCCAAAAATCACACAGACACACACATGCACATAAAACTGAAAATTAAATGAATCTTTAAAAATAAAAATAAGAATGTCACCCTCTCTATTGCTCTCATCTTGTCAGTCTGAAAGTAGGACCAAGGACAGGCCCACACCAGTCCCCAACCCCCACCCTTTTCCACAGTGCCCTCTGGCTCGGAAGATGTTTTGTTTCCAAAAGATTTTTAAATTATTTTTTATGTATATGAGTGTTTTGCCACCATGTATGTATGTACACAATCTGTATGCCTGCTACTCACAGAGGCCAGAAGGGGCATCAGATCCTCTGGCATCAGAATTACAGATGGTTGTGAGCCACCATTTGTGTTGGGAATCAACAGCCATATCTCTAACCCCAGAAGGTCTGTTTTTAACAGAGTCTCGAGGCCAGCTCCTGGGCTAGGTATGGAGCTGGCAGAGCAGAGGTCAAGGACATTCAAAGATGCAGGAAGAGAGCATGAAGGACGAACCTCAGACCCAGTGCTCCATTTATATAAAGAAATATAAATTTGGTAGCATGTCCTGTACTCCCCTGAAAGGACAATCATAAATAATATGCCTGTTCACATGCTTAATTTTCTAAATTATAGTATAATGCCCCAGCTGTACTAGGGAGAAGAAATACAAAGAAAACGATTTATTACCAAACGGCACATATTTCAAAATGTCAGGCACTAGATCCTAAGGCCCCTGAAAATATAATGAAGTGTCAAGCGCTTGCCCCACTTATAACAAGTTAGGCATAGGAAGTTAGAACAGGAAACATTCAGAAATAAAAACATCCAGAAATACACTATGAAAAGCTAGAGTAGCCCAGGGGCAGTAGCACATTCCTTTGATCCCAGCACTTGGGAGGCAGAGGCGAACAGATCTCTGTGAGTTCAAGGCCAGCCTGGTCTACAGTGTGAGTTCCAGGACAGGCTCCAAAGCTACACAGAGAAACCCTGTCTTGTAAAAGAAAAGCTAGAGTAGACATTACTTGGTAGGTATGTGTTGTTTGTTTTTCAAACTGCAATAACTATCTGCTGAGATAATCTGTATACAAGAGAACTCATGTTCCAGGCTGAGGTCAGTAGGGTTTCAAGATGAAATGGTCCAGCCTGGTCCAAGATGACCTACCTAGCAGCAGTGCCCACCAGGATCAAGACATGTGTCCTTGTACTGGGGAGATGATGACTCAGTGCATAAAGGCTCTGGCAGTCAAACAAGACGGCCTGTGAGATACAGCGGGAACCCCCATGGTGGAAGGACAGAACTGAATGCTGCAAGCTATCCTCTGTCTGCCTTCCATAGCATGGCATGACATGCTTGTGCTCATGCACACACACACACACACACACACACACACACACACACACACACACACACGAAAAAATAGTAAACAAGCGTAAGTACTCTTCATGCCCTCTGTTACCAGAGCCACAAGAATAAACTCTCCTCCAACAACCATTCAGTCAATGCTTTAACTACTGCTATCCTCCTCGCCTTCCCTTCTTTCTTACGTATCTGTATTATATAAACACTTGCTTAGACCCTATACAAACTTTGCAAGCAAAAAAAAGACAGCTATTTTGGAAAATGGCTCAGAGCTCCCTCTAGCGTGATTGTTTGTTCTGGTCCCTTGAAGGATTATGCAAATCTGAGAAGAAGAAACAAGCCACGAATTCACTTCTGCAAGTGCCCAACAAGACAAAGCCACACTTCAGGGGACACACCTTTCCATCTTAGTCCTGCATGCGCCGCCGCCAGGTGGCCAAGGGCGGTACTGCGTCCTGGATGGGGGTGTGGTGGGAAGTGAGGGAACGCTGGGCGAAGTGCTCTGTGTGTGTGTGCTATTGGTCCTTAAAAGTTGTACAAGGCCGGGCAGGGGTGGCGCACGCCTTTAATCCCAGCACTCTGGAGGCAGAGGCAGGCAGATCTCTGTGTGTTCGAGGCCAGGCTGGAGTGAGTTCCCGGACAGCCTCCAAAGCTACAAAGAAACCCTGTCTTGGAAAAGAAAAAAAAAGTTGTACCACTGCCGGTGGGACTGGTACACCAACCCAGCCACAAAACCTTTGACCTGCAATCTATCCTGCCTGCTAGAGAGTGGGAGCAATGGAAGCACAAATTTCATGGGAATGGCCAAGCAGTGCCTAGACTAATTTGGGGCCCACACCATGAAAGGGAGCCCATGCCCAACACTGCCTGGATGGCCTGGAACTGGGTGCTGAAAAGCCCAGAGACCTAGAGTAGGAAAAAAAATCAATAAAATGATTCATAATGATATTCTTCTAAACTCATAGATAAGTGCATCATCAGAGAAGTTTCTTCCAGAAGCTGACGGGAGCAGATGCAGAGACGCACAGCCAAACATTAGGCGCAGAGAATGTCCAAATTGGAGATCCCCATTGGGTCCCTTCCCCTGGAGCTCTGAGGACCCCATGGAAAATGGGGAGGGAGAATTATAGGAGCCAGAGGGGTCGGAGAGCATGGTCCACAGAAACAACTAAGCAGAGCTCACAGTGGCTCTGAGAGACAGAAGCAGCAGTCACAGAGAGGAGCCTGTGTGGGTCTGTGTGTGCTAGGTCCTCCGTGTGTGTTATAGTTGTTAGCTTGGCATTTTTGTGAGTCGCCTAACCGTGGGAGTGGGGGTGTCTGAGACTCTTCTGCCTACCCTTGGCACCCTCTTCCTCCTACTGGGCTCAACCCTGATATGAGGGTTTGTACCTAGTCTTATTATAACTTGTTTTGCTGTCTTTGGTTGATATCCCTGGGAGACCTACTTTTTCTGAAGGGAAATAGAGGAGTAGTGAGTCTGGGGGAGGGAGGAGGGGGGAACTGGGAGGAGTGGAGGGAGGAAAACTTGGGGTTGGGATGTATCGTATTAGAGAAGATTTTTTAAAAAGAAACAAAAATTACATTTAAAAAATGCAATTTAAAAAATTAATTTAAAAAATTGGCTCAGCGGTTAAGAGCACTGCCTGCTCTTCCAAAGGTCCTGAGTTCAATTCCCAGCAACCACATGTTGGCTCACAACCATCTGTAATGAGATTTGGTGCCAAACACTGTACACATAATAAATAAATAAATCTTTAAAAAAAAAAAAAGGTTTTACCAGTACCTGAACTCTTTAGCCATGTGGAGAAGCTTATGGATCTCCCTCTCAAAATAATGGTTCAGACACATATGAAACAGGTGCGTGTGTTTAAAATAAGGCTCACCAGATGGCTCAGAGAGTAAAAAGACCTTTCCACACAAGCCTGGTGACCTCAGTTGGATTCCTGGAAGCCACGAAAAGGTGAACTCTACAAAGTTGTCCTCTGAAAATATAATTTGAAGTTTTTAGTAAACTAAAAATACAGGGCTGGAGGAATGCCTCGGCAGTTAAGGGCACTTCCTCTTCTTACAATACCTTGACTTAGTTCTCAGAATTCCTAAGGTGGCTCACAGCCACCTGTAGCTTCATCTCCTGGAGATCCAGCGCCCTCTCCTGGCCTCTGTAGTCACTGTACACACAGCGCACAGACATATATGCAGGCAAAACATCCATAGGAATACAAAATAAAATGAAAATAGCGGGGGGAGGGGGAGAGAGTGGCGCACACCTTTAATCCCAGCACTTGGGAGGAGGCAGAGGCAGGTGGATCTCTGTTAGTTAGAAGCCAGCCTGGTCTACAAAGCGAGTTCCAGGACAACCAGGACTACACAGAGAAACCTTGTCTCGAAAAACCAAAATACTAATACTGATTAAATGAAATGAAAATGATAAACGTATATTAAAATACTGAAAATAGGGAAGTAGTTTTAAACATGTCATTAGTGATAGACTAGTCAATAAATATGCTTCCATGTTTAGTACTTGAACACTCAGATCTAGGGGCAGGTCTAAAAACTAGTAACTTGCTAAACAGTGAAGCCTATGCGCAATGTTTTAGGATATTAGCAACAACTGATTGCTCCAGGGTTTGTGATTTTTATCGTTAACAGTGGCAGGTTCTGCGCAACTCTGGAAATTCTTAATAGAAGGCAAAACAATCTTTCAGAGGTTCCTAAAGTTTTTCCCATCGGAGCCCGCAGACTCCTGAATGGCGCCGGCAGAGCTGTGGTGCTCAGATGGCAGATTAAGGTTCCGCAGAAGCTGGAGTTTTGGAGAAGAGTTGGTGCGGGTCTACAGGCTGCAGTAACTGACACAAGGGTAGCTGGAGAAAAAGCAGAGGCGCCTCTGAGACTGGGCTGGCGCGCCCCTCCCCTGCCTTCCTGGTCCCAGCCTGGCGCTTCTGCAGGAAGCTAAAGCCCCGCGTGGCCGAAGGAGCTGGCAATTGCAGGCATCTGCTCCCACAGTGTCCATCACCCACCATGCGGCCTCTAGTCTTGCTGTGGAGCTGCCTGGTGCTCCCAGGTGAGGGGGTGGCGGTGGCGGGATGGAGGGGCAGGCAGGTGAGGAGGTGGGGTGGAGGGAGATGCTTCCACAGGCTAAGCCTTCCTCAATCGGGGAGCTCAGACCCAAGGGTCTTCCTCACGCGTGTGGGTGGCCTCTGAGTGGCTGTGCAGGTGTAAGAGTGAAGCCTCTTTGATCACAAAGATGCCCCCACTTACCCTGCTAACTCAGCTAACTTTGTGGGATTTCTACTAACTAAACTTGCTTTTCTTTCTTTGCTTTCATTATTTCCTGCTTTATTTATTTTAAAATTTAATTTATTATTGTTACCGTGTGTGTGCGTGCATACACATATATACACAAACATCATTTACATATACTACACACTATAGTTTAGTTTGTTCATTGCAAGAAGGCAAAGGGCTGAATAGTAGTTGGAGGGACCTACAGGGGAGCTTTCTTCGCTCTTACCATTTGTATCTTTTATTTCTTTTCTGCAATGCTCAGAGGAGGGGTGGAACCTAGGCACTGGAACATGCCAAGTGAGTGCTCCACGGCTAAGCTGTATCCCCAGCCCCCCTTCCATTGTTTACTTCAGACAGACCAGCCTTGAACTTGCTCTTGTTCCCAAGCAGCTGTGATCACTAGAGTGTTCACCACGCGGGGCTTCCTTTACCCGTTAAGACCTAAAAATCAGGATGCATCTTGTAACTGATATCGGTTGCTCAGTTGGGCATGTTTGTTTGTTTTTCCCTTAATAATACATAAATTAATTCTCAATGTTTCTCGAAGTTTTTATTACACGTATTCCTCATGTGTGTGCATATGCACATATGAGCACGCATTAGTACACAAATGCTACAGCACACATGAGGTAGTCTGTGTACAGCTTTTGGTGTCTGCTCTCTCCTTCTTGACTCTTAAACTCACATTGTCAGGCTTAGCAGCAAGAGCTTTTACCCCTTGAGTTATCTGGCATGAGCCTGGCTCATGTCTCTCAGATGCAATAAAGAAGGTTACAAACAAGAACACTTAGACGGGATAAGCAACTTGCCCAGTGTCACAAAGCTGGGACTCACACTGCCAGCTGTCTGAGTCTGGGGCACTTACTTTATCCCTTTCAGTTAGTGGGGTTTATGAAAAGAGTGACATGTTTGTCTTAAGGTTCCCCAGAAGAAGAGAGAACCCTGGGGTTTTATGGGGCTGCCTCAGAAGGTCTGACAACCCCGCCCCATGAAATGGAAACTCTGGTCTTGGCCAGGTACTAGGATCCATGGAAATCTCATCTCCATCTATGCTGTGTTTTTAGGTTATGAAGCCCTGAAAGGCCCAAAGGAGATCAGTGGATTTGAAGGTGACAGCGTGTCCCTGCAGTGCACCTATGAGAAGAGGGTGAGAGGACACAGGAAGTACTGGTGCCGAGAGGGTGGCCTCGTGCTGTCCCGCTGCTCTGACATTGTCTACTCAAGTCAGAACCAGGACGTGGCACGGGGCAGGATGTCCATCCGAGACAGCCCCCGAGAGCTCTCAATGACCGTGACCATGAGGGACCTTACCCTGAAGGATTCGGGGAAGTACTGGTGCGGGATTGACAGACTGGGTTTTGATGAGTCTTTTGAAGTCTCTCTCATCGTCTTTCCAGGTAATGGATGACTCTCCCCCGCCCCATTGCCTGGGTGACAGGGGATATAGAAAAGACAGGGATGGACAAGAAAATCTGAGCCATGGATTCAGTTTCCCCATTAGAGAAGGGAGGAGTCATAGTACCAACCTCATCAGACCTCTCTAGCTAGGTCTTGGGGAGTCAGTAGGGACACCTGCTGAGCACTGGAACAACTCAGTGTCCCTGTGCTCTGGCAAGTCTCCTTGTTAGGACTTTATAGAGCAAAATGCAGCCACACCCATCACTCTTGGCCTAGATCTACTAGGGAGACTGCCACAGGATGGGGACAAGATGACAATCTCAGGGGATAAGGAAGGTCCTGCATATTCCCTGTGTCACAAATGCTCCTACAGCCTTCTGAGTGCAGGCCAACCATTGCTGCCTCATGGCGCCAGCCTTCGGTGTCCCCAAGGCCACGCACTGGCCTCACCATGCTGATGATCTCTGTACATTGTTTTCACCTTCCGTGTGGAGAACCCAGGGGAGGGAAGCTAGAGGGGGCCAGAGTACAGACAGCCCTGTCTCCTTCAGTGAGAGCTAGATAGATCTCCGTACTACCACTCCACACATGGGACACAGAGATACTCCAAGACACTCAGTGGCTGGCCTAAGGTTGAGGCAGGAAGCAGAGGTGGCAAGATTCGAACCTAGATAACTACCACCAAGACAGGCCCAGGAGCCAGGACCATCCTAAGCCCAGGTCTGTCCTTAAAGCCCATTCTCTGTCACTCCTGGGTCTCTATGACAATTCAGGGAAATTAAAGTAAACTAACCAAACAATAGCAGCAGCAGTACCAAAGCTCACTGAAGAGACTGGAGGGCATGGCTCAGAGGTAGAGCATTTGCCTTGGATTGCATCTCTAATGCTACAGCAATAGAACAACACTCTTTGAGTGAGTTCTCTGTTATTGGGAAGGCTCTCCAGTCTATTCCAGTTCTTATCAGGGCACAGAATTCTTTTTTTTTTTTTTTCTTGCCTAATTGTGATTAGTTCTATCTTTATTTCACTTAGTTATTTGGTTTGTTTGTTTGTTTTAGATGGTGTCTCACCATGTAGCTCTGACTGGTCTAGAATTCATAGAGATTCACCTGACTCTGCCTCCTGAGTGCTGGGGCTAAGGTCCTGTGTCACCACACCCAGCCTTAGTGTTCTCTAGCTTGAGATTCTCTTGTGTCTGGTTCCTGCCCTGAGTTCTAGTCACTTCTCCGAGGTCTGTGATCCATGCGCTTTCATCCCTTTCATGTCCGAGCTGGTTGGTTGGCTTCTGGTGACAGCTCATCCTGCCAATGATGAGGACTGTGTAGGTGGGTGTGCCACAGCCACTGGGGACACTGGTCTGTAACATTTATAGGTTTCTATGGTAGCAACACGCCTTCCTGCAAAGACAGTTTCTATCTGCCAATCATTTAACAACTAGCTCCCAGAATTCCTGAAAAGTTAACAGGTCAGAGTGAACTAACAGCCTCCAGGGCCAAATAGGCTGCGCATACCCACTACGGCATCCTCTAGTCCTCATCTCCTGGAGGCCCCAAGCAATGGATAGAGACTTAGAAACACACAAAGTAGAGGCTGTTCTTTATTTACAGAAGATTTAGTCAGCTACTTAGAAAAAACACAAGTAAATGGCAGAGAGTTAGAATCCAGAATGGAGAGTGATCCTGGAATGTTCCAGGTTGGGTGTGGTCAGGAAAGATGCTGAGGGATGCTGGCCCTTGAGGAATCCCAGCCCTGTGGGAGACCCTGCAAAGCCATAGCTGTAGTCAAAATGAGCACTAGCCCTCCTGGAGGCAAACACAGGATATTGGAGTACACAAAGGAAAAGGGGAATTCCTCCACATTACTGGGACTTAACTTTTGAGCTGATGATGGAAGACAGGGCAGGGGATAGGGGGTAGAAGAATGGGGCAGGAGGAGGGGGGAGGGGGCAGGAGGTAGAGAGGAGGCTTTAGGCAGAGATGTAAGAGAATGGTTTCACATAGGAACAACATGGAAAGGCACAGCAGTAGGAAGGGTGACCCTGAACACAGGGCATTTCTGCGTGGACCAGAGAGTTCCAACATTGACAGAATGATTTGAAGCCTGAGTTTCAAAGGCCTTGAGAGACACACTAAGTAAGCCACTAACCGCTTCCCAAGCAAGAGGCGACAGAATCCAAGGTGTGTTTCAGAAATACAGGTGTCTGTACAAAGGGTGGATTGAAAGAAGCAGGCTGGGTCCAGGGACACAGAAGACTTGAGCCAATGAGAACAGCAGGTAGGGAAGACCTGGGATCCCCTGGGATCTGCCAGTTAATGGCCCCTGATTGGCTGGGAGGAGACAATGATGGCACTTCTACTGAGGATGAGGGGCCCACTGTGGCAATGTCTACCTCCCCTGAGAGCAGCCTCTCCCTCTCCTCCAGGAAAAAGGGACAGTCCCATCCCCACTGGCACCTGCTGTCCTTCTACCCCCAACCCCTCCTTCCAGCCTCTTACAGCCACAAGGAGCCTGCAGCCCAAGGCAAAAGCCTGGCAGACTCAGGTCCCAGAACTGAGTGAGTGAATGGCTTTCCTGCCCCTTCTCCATCTCAGGAAATATAAAGTGAGGGCCACCCAGGTGTTCCCAACAACCTCAGAAGCCAGGATGGCTCAGAAGGACTGGGGCACTGGCTCAGGGTCATATACGGGAAGTGGCTGCAGCTGACCCCAAAGCTCTTCCTCAGGATCTGGGGGCCTAGCCAGACATTGGCCCTGACCTCAGGTCTGCCTTTGCCACCTTGCTCTGACCGGCCTTCAGCAGCTGAAGGTTAGGCTTTTCTGAGGCATAGCTGTCAAAAGGCCAGTGCTGGACAGATGGAGAACTTGCTTTTTAGTCAGAGAAGAGGTGAGCCTGGCCTGAACTAAGGGGAGGGTGAGGAAGGTGCCTATGGAGTGGTGTAGGACAGGGCCTTGGGGTAGGGTCCTCTTGCAGAACAGACTATGCATAGATGTGCCTGGCCCGGGGGTCTTCTTGCCCCAAGGACCTCACTTAGGCCTCTGCTTATCTTCTGGGGAGTGTTTCAATTGAGGATGTCCTGAGAGATTGGGAAGGTTCATGTTCAGAGGTCAGTCTGGGTGGGGCTCCAGGGCCAGGGTAGGTGCTGAGGCTTTGTTTTTGGACTTATAGCTTCTCCTGGTCTCCACCCGACCGTCGTCACAGCCAAGCAGGGGAAGACAGGGGTTAAGGCCCCTGTGTTTACCGAGGTGGCCCTCCTGGCCGGGTCTGCAGGAACCTCCCAGGTTCTCCCAGGAACCTCTCCATATGCTGGGAGCTCTCCTCACACAGCAACCCCAGCCCGGTCTCCAGGAACCTCCCCTTCCCCAGGAACCTCTCCATATGCTGGGAGCTCTCCTCACACAGCGACCTCTCCCCATGCAGGGAGCTCCCGCCCAGGCATCTGGCTGGCCCCCACCACAGCAAAGGACTCCAAGGCTGGCAGTGTCTCCAAGGCCAGGTGAGTCCAGGGGACCCTAGGTCACCCCTCAACCTTAAGACTACTTTTTTTCCTCAAGGCAGACACTTACTCTGGTGGTGGCCACAGCCTGTGGCTCAGAAGGCAGATTTCAGACCTTGTTTCCCCTCGCAGGGAGTCTCAGGCAACACACATCCTATCGCCCTGGACACACAGGGCCATCTGAGGTCCCAGAACTCATCTCTCTTCTACTCAAGCCATCTCAGCTCCAGGGTTTCCCTGTATACTCTGCCTTGAGCCATGTGCTGCAAGAAAATATGAAAGCCCTTCACCAACTTTTTTGTCTACATAGCTGGATACCAGTCTACAGCAAAGGGTTCTGGGGCTCTACCTACTCCTAGTTCCTGACTTGCAGGTTACTGCTAGCAGGTTCAGACCAGGCTGAAAGTGTGTTGTGGGGGTGGGGTACCTCAGGCAGCGTGCACACTAATGAGCTCTGAAACACTGGCCCCTCCTGCCTTCTTGCACAGTCAAGTCCCTTGGGCAACAAGAGACTTGACTGTACTACCATCAAACAGGTGCTGGTGACACCACCTTCAGGACAGTGAGTCAGGAAGGCCACAGGTTCAAGGCTAAGCTAGGTAACTTTGTGAGACCTTGTCTGAAAATAAAAAGTGGGCTGGTAAGACGACTGGGTCGGTACAATGCTTGGCATGCAGGCCTGGTAATCCGAGTTTGGCCCCCAGAACACACAGAAGAGAGAGAGAACAGACTCCACAAAGCTGTTCTCTAACCTCAGCATGCACACCATGGCACGCACACTCTCCCTCCCCAAATCATATGCTCAATACTAATACTAATGCTAACAAATAATTTCTGAAGTAAGGCCTGTAGGACATAAAGCTCAGTAGTAGAATGATTGCCTAGCATGAATGAGGTCCTAGGCTCGATCCTAGCACCCCAGTTTTTCCAGCATAACATGGGACTATCCCTGCTTAGTGAATTGTATAGTTTAGCAGCAAATGTAGCTAGGTACTGTACTAAGATTTATTCTTAGTGGGAGGAGTATTTATTTTGAGATAAGGTCAGGCTGGCCTCTGGCTCCCTATGTAGCCAAGGATGACCTTAACCTCCTGATCCACCTGCCTCCACTTCCCAAGTGCAAAGATTGTAATCTTGAATCACCTCACCTGGCTTTGAACTCAGTACCTTTTTTTTTAAATGTTTATTCATTTACTTTTTAGGTACATTGGTGTTTTGTCTGCATGTGTATGCCAGTGTAAGGGTGTGAGGAACTGTAATTACAGAAAGTTGTGAGCTGCCATGTAGATGCTGGGAATTGAACTGAGAACCTCTGGAAGAGCAATCAGTGCTCTTAACCTTTGAGCCATCACTCCAGCCCCTGAACTCAGTATCTTAAACATCCCACCTTGTTTGATCCTCATAGCCCTGCTTTGTGGGAGGTGAAGTTGGTGGTCCAGAAGGTTGTTAAGTCACTTACTCAAAGTGACATGTCCCTAAAGTGTCAAGACCAGGGTTCAAATCCAGCAAGCCTGGATTCGGGGTCTGAGTACCCCGCCAGTCTTAGCCTGGTTGAATTAGCCAATAGGCTAGAGGCTGGCTTTCTCTGTTCATGCATGGGATTCAAGGACATAGATGGCTGATCTGGTAACAGCCACCAGGCTCCTTTCATCTCTCCTCTAGTGTGTCCATCCCAATGGTCCGCATGATGGCCCCAGTCTGGGTGCTCTTGTCCCTTCTGCTGGCTGCAGGTCTGATTGCCTTCGGCAGCCACATGCTCCAGTGGAGAAAGAAAGGTAAGTGACTGAGGGGGTGGGAGGAGGCTCGTGCACACCTGTGATACTTTATCAACCTGGGAAAGACCTGCAGGCCGCAGGCCTCGGTGGGTCTTGCTGCTCACTGTGTGTACTTAATCCCAGCACTTGGGAGGCAGAGGCAGGAGGATCTGAGTTCGAGGCTAGCCTGGTCTACAAAGCCAGTTCCAGGACAGCCAGGGTTACACAGAGAAGCCCTGTTTCAAAAAAAAAAAAAAAAAAAAAAAAAAAAAAAAAAAAAAAAAAAAAAAAAAAAAAC